CACAGATATCATAACCCTCATTTAACACAAACGTTGCAGGATTGATGAACCCTCGAACAAAAAGACCATACCAATAACAAGGTAACAGATGTACAGTACAGCTCTTAAAGCAGCAGATATAATTAGTTTATAAGGGTCGCCTTTAGATATCACGTAGACAAACAGTCGTATCGGCAGTTCCATCTTACTCCATGCACTAGCATGCAACAAACATGGTTGACCCCTCTCTTTTCAACCTCTACAAGTTGCAACCTTCCACTGTAAAAAATCTGTTTTACACCCTCCCATATTCCAAGTCATTCGCTGGTGATCTATTAGTATATATCCGGGATAACCTGATCATGTTGCTGCCTTCGGTTTGCTGGTTTGCTGCACTGGTCGGATTGCTACTACCTTGCTCCCCCAACATCTGAAAGTATGCATATGGCCCCCAACCTTGCAAGAAAGAAGTAGAAAAACAATAGTCAAATTTTGGCAACTCCAATTTAAAAAACAAGAGACCTGTATATAATGGAATATTTTATTTTGACCATCAGACTTCAGGCAAGCCATCATTAACTTATATGATGGCAGAGAATGTTAGAAAATATATACAACAGAAAAAATTAGAAGAAACTTTCATTATAGGCATACATGACGTTCACAAGTGGACTCAAACCTGAGACCTATTACCTGTGCAATAATGCACTAACCAACTTGAATATCTCAACAGAGACATATTTTACATGCTTTTTATTATAAGACATCACAAGCATACAACTTCTGAGATTAGAGGCATATGATCATCCTATGAAAGGCACGCAGAGAGAAGTTTTGGACTGTATAAGGTACTAGAAAATTATTTACTTGAATAAAGCAAAGTATCTCAATTAGTTAAATTCTCACAACATTTATCAAGTAAAGCACACAAGAATAAAACAAAAGTGTGCCCACTAATGAGAATAAAAATTACTGCACCAGTTTGGCAATTAAAAGAATCAGCTCAGCTGGGGAAGGCCCTTATGGATTTCTAACTTATCTGCTAGCATTACTAAAGTATCAAATCGCTTTAGTAGAAAACTGTCCTATAACTCGGCCACTACCAGATATTTGCAGTTACATTCACATCCAACGTAATTGCAAACGAATATTACCATCCATATGATAAGGTGCAGGAAAAAACTGCAGATAACAAAATGTGGCAACTGTGACACCTGAAATTGAAAAGTACATGAGTCATTAAGAACAAAGAAAAATTTTAGACCTGCTTGCTTAAAGGTCAATATAATAACATGCTGAATGAACTACATTAACTTACCCAGAATACCACCAGCAAAGACATCATCCCAGTGGTGCCGGTAATCATCGACACGAGAGATTCCAACAAGTGAAGCGACAAGTAGTGGAAGAAACACAATACAAAGTTTTGCCACATGTCCATTACGATCAAATGCTTTGATCTTCCCAGACAAATAAAGTGCTAGGTAACCAAGACCTGCAAAGGACCCTGCATAAGGAAAGGTTAACTATATGCCCACAAGTGTGTCCAAGCACTTGGGTTGGACTGTCCATGCACCTGGGTTCCAAATTATGTAAGCTATATGTCCACAAGTGTGTGTGTGTGTGTGTGTATAGAAGGCACTTAATTTTGGTCTGCATTAAAAATTATAAAAAATAATTGTCAAAACATATCTGGTATTTCTTCTTCACAAAAGAAAATCATGTACCTGACTAAAAGCAGCAAAGGAAGCAAGAATAAGAAACAACTTACATGAAGTGTGACCACTAGGAAAACTCTTGTGTCCATCGTTTATTAAGTTTTCCTCCCCGTGACAAATAACATTTCCTGTCACTATATCAAACAACTGAACCAATTGAAAACAATAATTAGATAATTGTCATAACATGCTACTAAAATATATAGAAGATCTAAGAACTAAAATGACAAATCCAGACAGATACAAGAACCAGTAACAGAACCTCCTTTCCATCTGGAAAACAACGCCAAAAGAAATCTGGCCGAGGTCGACCAACAGTGACCTTTATTGCATTGGTTATAATCGCAGTTGTCAGCACAGCAAAAAGAAGACCTTTGCAAGTAATTGAAACACATTGAGTTAAAGTTTTCAGGTCATCCTTCTTTGTGTGTGTGCCAAAAAGGATTAAAAGAAATTATAGCCAAACACGACCAACATTATATTCAGAGTTATCAGCACAGCAGTAAAGATACCTTTGCAAGAAGTCAAAAAGCATTAAGTTCTTCAACAAACCCTTTTTTCTGACTAATTAGCATCAGTATGAAGAGAAATTCTATTTAATACAGAGATGAGGTAAAAATATACCTAGGATGGAATGATGCAGATCATAAACCTCTCTCCTACGGAAATAGACGGCAATAAATATCGAAGCAGGCAACACTATCGCAATTATCTACAAGTATAAACCAACGTGTCAAAAGTATCTGCAGCACATTACAATAGGCTCAATTGACAAAATGAAAAACTTCAAATACATTACAGGAAGAGCCCATGATGGAATGGTGCTGGTCTTGAATGGGTATCTTAGGTCATTCATCATGTCCTTTCCAACAAAACGGTAAAACGGATGAACAATTTTCAAAACCATCACAAGCACCACCAGAAAAATGAGTATAAGCCAATCAAACTTATGTGTTCTGGCCACTTTAATTCCATGAGATTGCACTGTGTGTGAACCAAGCTGAACGTCTCTCATATTGTCCTGTAAAGATATAACAATAGAAAAGCAAATCAGCTTGAAGTCCCCAAGTATTTTCAATATTCTTTAGTATTAAAAAGTACATATGTGCTCCGAATGGGAATACTCGTGGAACTGTGATTTGGACATGCATAAACTGACTTTAAAAGATGACAGTAAATAGTACAAGTTTTGTGCAATTATAAAACGTGGGTCAGCATATCTGTCTTACTTTGTAGGTACAGGCCTATGCTTATTTATTATAGGAGAAATGGGTAATCAAATGCTAAAAAATGGGAATCACATGTTTATTTAGCACTATTTTCTTGATGGTTCCCCAATAGGCTACACTAACTTTTTTCACGACATCCCATTTGCTGATGAGCCAATTGCAGAGACCAATACAGCTGAGGGTATAATACATGCTGAGTGACATATGGTAAGATTTCGTGTGCCAAAACCCCAAGGAAGAACGAGCATTTCAAGATCTAATTTGGGCCTTTCTCAACCCTAGAACAATCTGCGATGATGACAACTGCACACCAACAAAAGTTGCTAGTGATTACGAAGGCACACATGAGAACATCATCTCTAAAGGACATCAACCGTTCCTATGGAAGAAAAGGAACTGTTGCCTACGCCCAGCATAGAAATCTAGGCAGCAAGGACTTTACCCTTTGGCGATGGTTCAGCAATCAACAAGAGAGCATATTCCTGCGTTTCTTCCTGCAAGCCAAACAAAACAACGCATCACGAAATGCCACTCATTCCCTTCTCGATTCCTCCCGTCCCATGCTATAGAGGTCGCAGAAACCTTCTTATTTGTGCCACAACGATGCGGGATGGCTTCCCGCTCAAGAAATCAAACGAGCGAATCTTGAGAAAAGGAAAACATTACCTGATCTTGTGCTCGAATGAAATCGGGTAAAGGGAAAGGAAGGAACGGAGATTAGAGGATCTAAAGGAGGAGGAAATAGACTCTCCGGACTCTACGATTCTTGAAACCCAGGCAAGCAACCGCTGAGAGAGACAGGGGGGGAGGAGGGAGTGGGGAAGCATTCGAGTTAAATAGAACGGAACGGAACGAAGGCGTTGTAATGCGTGAACTGTTTTGAAATGGGCAATTGGATTCCGCTAGTAGGTTTGGGCCCAATTAGCTGTGATCGATTTGGGCCCAAATCCATTTAAAGCTCATCACTTCTTGCAACAACGTAGATATACTTTCTCTCTCTGTTCAGACTACATAGCGATAAATTTCAGGGGTACTTGAATTAGATTTTTAATTTTGCATTTGGCGTATTTTTATACTAAATTTCTGTGTATAATTTGAAGCCATGAATTCATGTAAATATAAATCTAATTTTGAACACTGAATCTTTTAGCAAGTAAGTCAAGTACGTCATTATCAGATAAATATTTTAGATATATTTAAGTAAAAAATAATAATTAAAATAAAAATTAAAGATTAAAAACATTTTGATCCTATGATGGATGCATCACTTATCAAATGTTAAGTGTTCAAAACATTATTTGATATATTTTTATATCTTAAACATAGAGAATGATTTATCAGATCCAGTTATCATAGGAATGTAAATATAAACAAAAAAAAAAACATGATTGAAATAGTTAATTTTCTTGGGCCAAAAAAAAGTTATAATCTTGTCATGTGATGGCAAATATTTTCAAGAAAAAATTATCAAGCAAGATTTATTATTTTTATTGTGATTTAAAAAGGAGAAAAAAAACATATCTCCAAATATTTTCTTCCGATTTTCTTGTTTTTTGGTGCCAAAGCGCTCCTCTATCTCCCTCAGATATTTTATTCTAATAATTGCGGGCACAATTTCTTTGTTTTTACTAGAAAATACGAATTACATATCACTTGCAAAAGCCGTGACGAACTTTGCCATCAAAAATTAAGTTAAATGCTAATTCATAGGGTTGCTTACCTTCTTCTCCAAAAATCTAGTGAGTTTAGCATAATTTGACAACCGATAGCTTCTCTAGAAACACATGTTTGAGAGTAACTATAACAAATTTATTAAAGAGGCACAAAATGCTTGTAAAAACACTGAGAATGATAATGGCGGATCAGATACATGAATCGGCCTTCCTAACCTAAACCCTATGCTTTCTCTGTTGAGTAATATAATTTGCCTTTTGTGGAGAGGTCCAGGTTTGCTTGTAGTCCATTCTTTTAGTACTATAATTTCTTGTTTTCTGGGGAAAAAACTATGCAAACTCGGTACATACAATGAAAATTGCATGAAGAAAACACAGTTTTAACTATGCAAGTCAATTGAAAAGGGGGAACAAATATCCTGGTGATTTCAAAGATTATATAGCTAACTGTAACCTTATCAGTAATCACAAATGCAACAAAAAAGTAGAAAGCATTACTGGATAATGCTAAAAACTAGGCTGATTGTATCCATCGAAGTTATAGCAGGGCCTATACGGTTGTTTGCCTTCTACGTATTCCAACCCACTGCTTCAACATCAATACTACCAACGGTCAAAACACAGTTTGTGAGCGCTGGATCAAAGCCATGACATTCCCATCAGAAAGCCCTTGCATGAGGTGACAATCCTGCATGGAATTGGTCAGTTCAAAGTTGGGCATGAAAATACCACATCTCATCTCTCTTCTAGGTTACTCGTTGAAAAGGATACAAAACAACCTACCATGAACTGCTAGCTCCGATGCATGGCCTTTGTCCAGATCACAATAATAGTTGACAATGTCTCGATCAAGTAAAATTAGATTGGGGTGGAAGGGTAGTGACTAAGCAATTAATAAAAGTCCAAGGAACCATAAACTATATCATTTAGGGCACATGATTCAATCATAAAAGAGAAATGCTTATTCAATTTAGGCTACAGTTAATGGAGCTCCCAGGTTATCTCTCGAAAGATGCAATGGAGAAGAGAATAGCATGTAGACACCAACTCTTCAATATCATCTGGTCCGCAGATTCATGGTCAGAAAAGGAAGAAGTGGACTATAACCCTTTCCTAGATGCCAGAAGAAGGTTCATACCTGACAACTAGACTTCTACAGAAGGAAAAAAAAAACACATCTTTCCAAGAGGGAAAGCTCTATCAATCAGGTCACTACTGTCTCTCACAAAGAATTAGAATTGATGATCCATAGAGTGGCATTTCTCAGCAGAAATCGGAAGAGAGCAGGATAAACCAGCCACTAGTGTTAAAACTAGGTTCATCAGTCTAAGAATACAAGAGAAAAGAAACCATTTAAGTATTTATACCACAAGTTTTATCTTCTTTAGGTTGGTTCAACCTCCTAAAACAATAGAGAAGAATGATACGAACCACAAGTCGATTCCTATTTTTAGACCAAAGATACAGATCACTTGTTAAAAAGAAAGACGGCAGGAAAAGATTATACATGTTGCAGACAGGAAACACTGCAGTCAACTAATAGCACTTTCTTCATTGACCAAAACACAATAATAGGAAGATCAATAGGGTGTTACTATATGTCAAACTCGAGTTGGATTAGTTAAGCAACTAGTGTGTTTCGTAAAATAAAGAAGATTCATATATGCAAATTGCCAAGATCCAGAGACCATCACTTGTGAAAACAAACAATGTATATGAAGCAAAAAAAAAAAACTTTAATTTTAGTATCTCACTGCATCCAAATAGCTGTCCTGAAATCACATCATTATCAGTGTTCACACACTCGAAGAAAAAGAGTGCTTTTGGTTTGTATGCATCTGCCTAGAAACGAAAGAGACAAAAAAAAGAGAGAAACAAGCCTTTCCTCTATAACCATGTGAAACTTCTTGTATAAAAACAGTAGATACATTAAAATACTGCTGTAAATTAATAATGTAACAATATCTTTAACATGACAGATTTCTGATCTAATAGCAAGATAACATAGTCCCCTGGGACTCAGAGCATGATTCCTAAAACCATTGACAGGAGGATAAACACATGCAAACACCAATTTCCTTTATTCGTATAACAACAAACTGACATACAACACCAATTCACGCGAACCAAACACTAAACAACACATCAAATGAGAAAACCAACCAAACATAATTTGTAGGTAATAAGACTGTACGAAATTATGAGCTCACTGCAGATTAATTTACCTCCAACCAAAATTTCCTTTTTCCTTTTAACCAGGGTATCAACTGGCGATCATGATGTTTTGGATGCATTTGAATCTCCAGGAGCTCCTGCTTCAGGAATCACAGCTGTTGAGCTTGCCATCTGATACTGCCGGGACAATGCTGGTTGTGAAGAGGCTTGCGAGTAGTACATCTGAGGATGGCCAGGAGCAGCAGTGACTTCATAACCATAATTAGCCATCGTTGCAGGGGACTGAGAAAGATGAGGATGCTGCATCACATGATACCCGGTTCCGGCATAAGGGTATGGTGTGGTTTGGCGTACAGGCACATAGTACATTGGAATATGAGGATCAAAGGGGTGTGCTTGTGGCAATTGCTGCATCGATTGGGGCATGATAGAGTAGTAGGAAGCCATGGGAACGCCTGTACCGGCCCCCGTATGGTGGATGTAATGGGGATTCGTCGAAATAAACTGTGGTTGTTGTTGATGAAATTGGGAATGGGTTTGTTGCTGCTGGAGTTGCTCCGGGTGCACTGAAGACAACACAAAACCTGGAGCATCCACCGGCGGCAATGGAGCACGGTAGCTACGATCAAAAGAGACATTTGGATCAGAGTTTAAATTCAAATATGTAGCTTTTGATGAAGAAATTAAGGTGAAATTTAATTGGAATTTTAGTAAAAAATCACAACTATTTCGCAGAGGAGGGTCAAAGAACCAGAATGATGATACCTCGATGCAGGATCGGAGGAGGGGGCGTCGACTTGTGTGGGTTTTGGGGGTTGTGGCGGCTTACGGACGCCATGATCAGACTTCTCGTCGTCCGAGAAGACCCTGTTCGAGTTGTCCGAAGCGGAGATGGTGGGAATGGAATCGGAAGCGGTCGGAATAGGGATGGGGGGAGGGACCTGGAGGTGATGAGCGTAGATTGGCTCTTTGAAACCATCGTCCGGCCTCTGGCTGGTGGCGGAGTCGGAAGAGAGGTTCATGTGGGCCAAGTGGTCGTCGAGGCCGGAGATCCGATGATCAGCGTAGCGGTCATCGGTTGGAACGGGAATAGGTGGGAGATTAGAGAGGGATGGAGCAGAGGAAGTGGATCCGAAGGAGGACGTCGTATCGAGCATCGGCGAATCGGGGACGGAGTGAACATCTTGGCCATGGCGTGCGAGCTTGCCGGCGGAGTCGGGGCGGGGGAGGACGAGCTGCTCAGGCTCCGGGTGGGAAGCAGCGCCGCCGCCGCCGCCGCCTTTGCGAGAGTGGACGGAAGAGTTGTCCTCGAGACCGAGGAGGCTGTCGACCGTGGCGGAGTCGGCAGAGTGGCCACGAGGGAGGCCGTCCAAACTCATGCCGCCAATCGCGCTATTGAGGGCGTCCACGAACCAAGTCTCCGATTTTGACTCGTCCAACAGCGACCCGATGGTGGACGAAGGCGCCGATTCCGACTTCGACGGGAACAGGAACAACCGCAGGCGGGAGGAGCGGGTGGAGCCGCCGCCTCCGGAGGCCGCGGCGGAGATGCGATCCAGCTCGTCGATCATGTTCTCGAGGTCCTCGTCGGTGGTGACGGAGATAAGAGAATCGAGGTCCTCGTTGGGGAGCTGGTACTTGAGGGAGAAGGGGCGGCCACCGAGGAGCTTTCGTGAGAGCTTGGCGGAGATGTCAGCGAGAGAGGAGTGGCGATCGACGACGACCATGCGGGTCTCGCCGCCGAGGTAGCAGAGGGACTTGTCGGTGGGGCGGGGAACGATGCGGCCGCCGTAGCTACACATGAGGCGGAGGCGCGACGAGGCCGCGGCGGCGGACGGAGGGAACGGTTCGTCCCAGGAGTCGCCGCCGCGGGAGCGGGGGGAGGAGTCGGCGGAGTCCGGGTACCCGGGGCCGGAGGCCCCGACGGAGACGGCGGTCGCCGCCGATTCCATGGTCGGAGCGAGCGAGATGTGGGAGGGGGTCCGCAAGGATCGAATTGGGGATCTGTGGCAAGGGAAGGGAAAGAAGTTGGGGCCAGACGACAAGAAAAAAGGGACGTTTTTTTATTATTATTTTTTCTTTTCTTAAACTCTATTTTAGTATTAATGGCGAGAATATTTAATCGGAAAAAAAGAGAAAATTGCTGAGACAGCGATGTTGATGTGATAAAGAAAATGTAAGTGCGATATGCCACGAATAAATACTTACCAAACGGAGGTTATTGCCAGAGAGGCTAATAAATAAATAGTAAACATTTGTTACATCGAGTTTTGTCGACACCCATCGCCACCCCCTTTGGTCGTATTCAACGTTTTCCCTTCTGATCGCTTCCACTCTTTGATTTAGTCTCATTACATCTCACTCACGCATTTGTTTCTCAATGTATATTTGTTACTATGAAATTTTGTGGTCAGCTTGGGATCGATTCCACCTAATCCGGTTTTAAAGTCTTGTCACGCTCGAGACTTAATATTAGCCAAATTTGGTAACCTCGACTCCAAATCTAATTATGCAAGCTCGAGTTTGGAAATCCGGAAGAAAAGAATCGTCTCGTGAACAATGGCCAATGAAATCTCTGCCATGGCTAAAGTCGAAGAATGATTCTAAAAATATTTGTAGCTTTTTATAATTTATGTCGACATGACAGTTTTTTTTTTTTTTGGTCTAATTAGGCTTTAGATGGCACATGTGGAGTCCCAAATATTTATCATATTAATATTAATATTATGAAATTTTATATGAATAAGAATATCTAGATCCAAATCCAATTTAAAAAAATTATATTCTAGAGATTAAAAATCAACCACATTAATATGTCTTATATATAATAGACCTCGAGTCCACCACGCAACTTCACGTAAAATTAAGTTGCTAAAAGTAGAAGCTTGTCCAAGAAAAGTTAGGTATAAATTTCTCCTGCTTTTAAAAAAATTATTATTAAATAATTATTATAAATAAATTTTGATTGTTTAACATGTGATTAGAGTTCAAAACCAATAAAGTTCAAGTTCATGATTTTTTTAGGTTAAGGTATTGAGAACTGAGTCGAGACTCTATAAGAATCGAGAGCGTATTCGATAAAATCTCTTCCATACTAAAATTAATATAAATTTAAAAAATTTATCAATTATAAAATTAAAACGTAAAGTCAACCAAAAGAGTCGTTGGGAATGCAATCGAAAATCTTTTTATCTTATAATAGATAATCATTAAAATAATTACTCATATTATTAAGTCATTAATGGATTGTCAAGCTAACGTAACAGTTTGGTATAGTCAACTTTGTTAGCAGTGGTCAGTTAAACCTATGGGGTCGAGTTGATATTCATATCGATATATATTATTAATCATGTAAGATCGAATAACTTATCGATCAAATCATAATAACACATCAACAGTTATCTACGTGTCATATCTCCCTATTATCACGAGTATAATAACTTTGTATTATAATGACTATGGATTTTTGAAGTTTGGTATGACATTTGTCTTAATTATTCAAATATCGTTATCTGTTAATGCTGTTACAAACTTAGCGTGAGGTGGAGTTGAAGAGAAGGCACGTAATGACCATTATAATTGAGATATGGAAGAGGTTGCTTGTTGTGTCCACTCTCATAATCCTTCGATCAACACTAATTATAACGATGTGGAGGAGAGAGTGTGAGAGTCGAAGAGAGCGGCAAGTACTGAGATCATCACAATGTATTAAAACGCACCGACTGTGACTGCTCACCGGCCTCCGATATTTCTCGAAGAACGTAGACATTGAATAGTGAATGATAGAGACACCTTCTCTCATTTCCTTGTGTGCGTTAACCTTGAAACAACCCAATCTATTCTAAACCTACCTTTCGTAGATGATTTGGTAAGTAATTTAGATGACGATGGAATCCTAAATCAGTGGAATCCCTTTAAAACCAACCACATCACACTCGTCGCCTGACCATTAAATCTCTACTAAATATTTTCTAATCAAAACCGTTATATATATATATATATATATATATAGAGTCGTA